TTTAATCTCGGTATGTGACCCATCCAAGTTCTAATCGGTCACGCCACGCCTTGACATGACCTTCGTCTCCTCGCTTCCCAGAACGCCATAGCCAGCCATCACCCACTTGCAGATTGCAAATTTGCAAATTATAATGGAGGTATTGTAGCTTAGCATCAAGAAATCTGGAAATAGAGGAAGTGAAGAATGAAGAAGATAAAAATGTTTGAGAAATTAAAGACATTCACTATAACAAAAAAATCAGTAGTGACCAATTCCCTATAATGGTCACAAATACAGTGAATTTAATGACTAATAATACTATATGGTCAGTTTCAATATTGAAACTGCCTCTTGCCCCTCTTCGCTTCTTGGCTCTTGGGTTTGGCGTTTAGCATCATGACTCATATCCTTTCTTTTGTTGATTTCATACATCATATTAGTATTTTTTTTTCCTTCATCTGCTTCAGAATTTCTGTTTAATAATTTTGTTAAAGTGGAAGATTGGTTTGAGTCTTCTATTAGAATAATTGACACATCCTATTAATGGTGCTTCTTCTCCTTCATGGGTTCCAAGGACCTCTCTTCTCACAATTTATTGGGTTTTAATAAGTTACAGTTGGAAATTGTTGCGATAATAATGTAATCAGTAGGGAATTAGGACCTGTATGTGAGGAGGATGATTGACCCTGTAGCTTCGTGCCGCCCCGCGGACATCTCGTATTCATACTGTTCTTTGTATCCTTACTGAAAAAGAGGACCTGTATTCTCTCCATTGAAACCCAGCCTGGCATCGTCAATCATCCTCATCACATATCATCGTCAATCATCATCGCAAATCATCATCAATCATCATCGTCGTCGCCAATCATCGCCAATCATCATCATCGCGCCATACCCATCGTCAATCATCATCGAAACCCAGAATTCAATCAGACTCTGACCGGAACCCGACCACGCTGCTGCTCGAACCCAGATTCTATCTCCATATCGTACTGTTTGTACCCTCGCGCCATACCCATCGTCAATCATCATCAACGCATCATCATCGAAACCCAGAATTCAATCAGACTCTGACCGGAACCCGACCACGCTGCTGCTCGAACCCTTGCTCCGTCGCACTCTGAACCAGATCGTGACCATATCGCAGATCGCCCCTTCGCCCCTTCGAAGCTTGTCGTATCTTCAAACCAGATCGCGTAACCCATGCCACCAGCGAGTTGCACTAGCCTTCAGCCTCCGAACCCAGATTCTATCTCCATATCGTACTGTTTGTACCATATTTAGAAAATGGGCTAAAGATGGTTTTATTTCTCAAATAAGATTACATTAAATCCAAGCCCAATATTTTTCTTTTAAAAACAACGAAAAGGGCCTTTTTGGATTTGGGCCAACAAGGGGCGAAACTCTCTCAAAGGCCCATAGTACGAAAAGATCCCAGTTTTAGTCCACACCAAGGTCTAAAATATCGATGGTATCGGTAGTTCAAATATATGGAAATTTCGATAGAAATATTGGGATATTATCAATATCGAAAAAGTTGAATAAAAACCACGGAAATTGTGAGAAAAACTTGGAAATTTTTATTGAAACTTTAGAGGATGTTTATTTAGTCAATTATCTATTAGTTTATCACAGAAAATTGGAAGGAAATGCATTGCATGATAGGTTTAACTGATTTAAGTTGATTATATAGCGAGCTGACAAACACTGTGAGTGTAGAAAATATGTAGTAGTTAATGAAAGAAGATTAAACACCCCATAATAATTTATATACAATTATTTACTATAGTATTTTTAACTTTACACATTGCATGGTAAGATTCATGAGTGACTTAGTACCACATATAGTTTCTATTTGCATATTATCACAAAAACATAAGCAATATGGTGATTAAGGAGTTGAAGGAATGGAATGGCAGGGGTTCGAATCCCCTTTGTGTGTGTGCTTTGTGTTTTTTTTTCCCTTTTTTTCCATTACATCGATATTTTCAATATTATAGTGATATTTTGACAAAATATTGTTGAAGTGTAAGTGAAATTATTGACATCGATATTTTCCGATATTATCAATATTTATATGATATGTGTATGGATACGTTCCGAAATATCCGTGACTCAAAAAAACGATAATATTCTCGACATTTCATCGATATTTTAGACTATGGTCCATAGTAACATTAAGAAAATAGGTAACCATTACCCATTGACCCACGTGAGGGTCTGAAAAAGGGTTATCACCATTAATAACAACTTGACCACTGTCTCTCCCAGCAAGAAAGCAAGCTGGATAATAGAAGCCAGAACCAGAAGGAGCTGTTCTACGAAATGCGTGTTTAAAAGTTAATGTGGATCCAAATAACGTCTCTCTCATCAGTGGCACAGTGGTATTCTAAAAGTTAATTGGATGGGTTTTTTCTGTTGACGGCGCACCATGGTGGAGGCTGCGACGCAGAGGCTATAGCTGCTTTGGGAGGGATACGGTTTTCTGTGAGACTTCAATTGCAGGGGTGTGTTTTTAAGGATGATTCTTTGCCTGTATTGCCAATGCTATTGGCGCTGATATGGAGCATTTTTATATGTAGGGGCAGGATCCTGGACAATGCACGCTTGCTCTTAGTTTACCTGAGTCCAGATTCCATTATGTCCCTCGGGAGCCGAATGGTGTATCGGTAACAAATCATCAAAATACATTTGGTAACGAATTGAAAGCAAATATTACTTACGAAACTGAAAAGTAGTCTTATTGTAAAACATTTACAGCCCGTTACATAATTTTCATAGCTTTCGTGTTAATCAAAGAAATAAGAAATACAACAAATTTGTTAAGAGATGAAGAAAAATAGTGAATGCATATAAAATTAAGACAAAAAACTATTTACAACTGTTTACAGTTTTTAGTTATAAAAAAACCATGTGTTGTCTACTTCACTGCTCTCATCTCTTTCTTTAATTTAGAAGAATAAATTTTGAAAAAAGCAAAAACATTACTAAACACCCCCTAAATTTCAGAGATATCGGGAAAATAGTCGCTTGTATCAATCAACCCAAAAGAGGTCAGCTGGTTGAATCATACAAAGGACTAGTTACCAAAATTGTAACTGAAAATTCTATTTATCAATCCCCCATAAACTTCTGTTTCTTGGCTGTGTTCATGTATGGTCTGAAGACCCATTCAGTCTGGGCTTCATTCTGATCCACCGTTCCTAACTTTATCTACAACACCAAAGCAAAGAAAGTGTAAACAAGTATGAAATATTAACAGTCTACTCGTCATTGACAAAAAAAATATATCAAGTAACTAAACATAATTTTTTAACTGTTATCCAGAGAACATCAATCACATCCATCATGTGAATGCAATGAAGTGCAAGTGATATCACTGCAACAAGCACAAATTTCTCAGAATGAAGATAAAGTGAAGGGCGAAGTACGAAACTTATAAAGCCTCAATTCAAACCGAGGACCAATCTCCTTCAGCTCAATGGATTTAGGGCCTCCGTGCTTCTCATAGGTATGATGCCTGTATGTTCTTCAAATTGTTAATGGGAAATGAAAGGGGAACACTTCAGAGGATAAATCTCACAGTATAAGAAATATAATGAATAAAATTGCTAGAGCAGCTAACTGAAGAAATGCTTAAATCCCCGATAGGAAAAAAGTGAAAAAAAAATAAAAAGAAGAGACAAAGAGTCTCCTAATTATTATTCAAGAACAGCCCCATATGTACCAATACGTGCATATAATGGAACTTATCGCAAATGTGCTAGAAGAGCAATAGAGCACATCCATGTACAAAATCCAAACCAATCATCCATCTAAGGTTAGAATGCTCAGCACTTCAAAGGTCAAACTTTTTTTCTCCACTCATATAAGAGCAATGCCTATTGAATAAAGAATAATTGACTGTCCATGATTCTAAACATTCCGTAGCGGTGTAGGTATTAGGACCCCAATGTAATATGATGGTGTCAGTATAGTGGTGTCTTTAGATAACATTAGTTTATTGTAGTGTTATCATAGTGTCGGTCTTGTACAACTCAAAAGCTCTTTTGATATTCTAATCCTCCCATATAAAACCATCACCTTGTAAACATGTAAGACTCACTGATTTGAATAAAAGAAAACAGTTTTCGAAGTACTCTCTTTCATGGTATCAAGAGCCTAAGACTTACTGTCCCTCCTTTCATAATTTTTTTTTCTCGACTTCCTATCATGGCTTCTTCGACTTCTATTGCTTCCCTTTCTGATTCTTATTTCTCAAGTGTTTCCCACTTCATCTCTGTAAAGCTTGACCGCAACAACTATTCTTGTTGGCTTGCTCAGATTGTTCCGGTCCTTCGAAGCCGAAAACTTATGTCCTTTGTTGATGGCTCCAGCTCCTGCCCACCAACCACTATTTCTAGATCTTCCTCCAAAGAAGGTGACGCTCCATCTTCACCTGTTCCTGATCCTGAATATGATGAATGGATTCAAAAAGATCAGCTTGTGTTGTCTTGGATAAATGGCTCTCTCCACTCTTCTGTTCTCTCAACTGTTTCTCGTCTCTCTACTGCTCGTGACACGTGGTTGTCCATTGAGAAGCGTTTTGCCTCCACCATTCCTCATCGTCTTTTATTCTTGTAAAGTGAACTTCATAACACTCTTCGTGGTGATTCTTCTGTCCAAGAGTTCTTGGATCGTATCAAATCTATTGCCGATGATCTAAGATAGGCGGGTGAATCAGTTTCTGAGTCTCTTCTTGTCTCTCTTATTTTAAAGAATGTTGGCCCGATGTATGAAACTGTGGTTTCTGCTGTCCTTTCCCGAGGGACGCCGATTACATATGATGAACTTGAGGTTCTACTTCTCTCTGCTGAAAAGCGCCTCCAGTCCGCTTATGTTCCAGCAGCTACTTCTGGCGTCTCTGCTTTGGTGGCTTCCAGAAGTCGTGGCAGTGGCCACCATGGTGCTACCGCTCGCGGTGGTGGCCGTTGTGGTGGCTATACTCTTGGTAGTCGTGGATCGTTCCAGTTTGGCAATGGTCGTGGTGGTTTTTCTCTCAATGGTCATGATGGATTTTTTCAACAACGATATGGAGCTTCAGGGATTCTCAGTCAAGTCCCTTCTCAAGGTGTTCGTGATTCTTCTTACTAGAACGAGAGACACCACGCTGCTTTTTCGAACTCCATGAAATCAAGTTGTTACCAAGAAAAATACAATACCCACCAATAGACCGTCGATCATCCGAATCACCCGCATAATCCGCATCAGAGTAAGCAAGTGGATGAAGTGAACTAGGTTGATAGAACAAACCATGAGTGATTGTGCCATTGAGGTACCGAAGAATGCGTTTGACGGCAATTCAATGAATAGTAGTGGGACGATGCATAAACTGACAAACTTGGTTGACTGCAAACGCAATATTAGGACGAGTGAGAGTCAAGTACTGAAGGGCACCAACAACACTCCGATATTCAATAGCATTAGGAAGAGGATCACCATCCGTAATGCTGAAACGTTTACTTGAAATAGCTGGCGTCGACACTGGTTTGGCTTCATGCATCTTTGTACGCTTAAGGATATCAACAATATACTTGGATTGAGTAAGTGATAAACCGTGAGAATTTTGAGTTAATTCCATACCCAGAAAATAGTGAGCTGGCCCAAGATCTTTCATAGAGAATAGACGACCCAAATCCAAAATCAAAGAAGTGATACTAGTAGTATCATTACCAGTAACCAAAATATCATCAACATAAATTAAAAGATAAATGCGAACTGAGCCATGAATGTAGACAAAAAGAGATAAGTCATCAAGCGAAGCCCGGAAGCCCAATTGAAGAAGATGAGTAGAGAAACAATGAAACCAAGCACGCGGAGCCTGTTTTAAATCGTATAAAGAACGACGAAGCTTTCACATATCATGCGGATGGGTTGGATCGACAAAACCAACTGGTTGGCGCATATAAACCTCTTCAGTAAGATATCCATGAAGAAATGAATTTTGCACATCTAGTTGACGAATGGGCCAATGAAACTGAACAAAAAGAGCTACCACAAGACAGATAGTTGAATATTCACAACGGGGCTAAAAGTCTCCCCATAATCTAGGCCCTCTTGTAGATGAAACCCATTAGCCACTAAACGTGCTTTATACCGCTGAATGGAGCCATCTGAATTCCGTTTTATACGAAAAACCCATTTACTTGGTAGAACATTCATGTGACGTTGATATGAGACCAAATCCCAAGTTCCAGCACGAAGAAGTGCATTAAACTCATCAGACATTGCCAAACGCCACTCAGGAAGCTTATGAGCCTGTGAAAAGGATGTTGGCTCAACAGATTCATTAGTAAGAGAATCGAGTAAGGCATGATTAGCATATTTAGGATTAGGTTTATAAATACCAGTCTTAGCACGAGTCACCATGGAATGAGTTGTAGAATCACTCACTAAGGGCAAAGACGAAGAGGATGTACTTGGTAAACGTGGTTCAGACACAAGGTTGGTGATAGAAGAGGTTATTGGGGGAGAAAAAGCAATTTGACGATGTGGATTTCGAACATAGGTGCGGAGAGTACTTTTTGGAGTGGTTGGGCTGGTCATTTCGGATTGGGTTGGAGGAGAGAGAGTGGGAAAAGTAGCAGGAGAGGATTGTGTTGGAAAAGGACAGGCTAAAGATGGTTGAACTTCTGATAAGATGACTGAAAACCTAGGACTTTAGTTGGAAGTCGATTAATTAAATAAACTGCAGTATGCATGGCCTCAACCCAATAGGATGGAGGCATTGATGCATGAGCCAAAAGGGTAAGACCTGTATCCACTATGTGCTTGTGTTTGCATTCTGCTAGACCATTCTGTTCAGGAGTGTGAGGACAAGATTTACGATGAAAAATGCCATGATTATCAAAGAACTGTTTAAATTGATAACTGGTATATTCCCCACCACCATCAGATTGACAGGTTTTAATTTTAGTGGAGAACATATTTTCAACAAGAGTTTTAAATGTGACAAAATGAGAGAACTTCATATTTTAATTTCATGGGAAAAATCCAAGAATATCTAGAAAAATCATCGACAAATAAAACATAATAGCTAAAACCAGAAATAGATTTATTAGAGGAACTCCACACATCGGAATGGATAAGTTCCAATGGTGAAGTAGAAACAGACATTGAAGAACTAAAAGGTAATTTAACACTTTTACCAAGTGGACACGAATGACAAACATAATTACAAAGGACTTTCGTACCAGACAATGGCAACTTATTATGGGAAATTAAAAATTGCAAAGTGGGAGAAGCTGGATGACCAAGATGAGAATGCCACACAGAACTATCAACGCGAAGACCTAGCAAAGCAACACGATTTGGAAAAATGTGAAAAGACGAGTTTGGTGAGAATTTTAAAGGATAGAGACCATTTTCACTCTTGCCCCAGAAAAGAATCCTCCTCGTCGCCAAAACCCGCACACAAAAATTGTCGGGATAAAAGGTAAAGACAATTATTATCTTTTGCAAATTTGTGAACTGACAGCAATGGCAAAGAAGCATTAGGGCAATGAAGAATATCTTTAAGTGCAAAACGAAACTTGTTATGAGAAAAAGAAGTATCGCCAACGGTATTAATTTTTAAACCTTGTCCAACAAGTACACTCGCGATGGTGTCGGAACCGCAATATGCCCTAGTATGTGAAAGATGACTCAAATCATTGGTGACATGTGCGTTTGCACTGGTATATGTAACCCAATTCTGAATACCAGGAGGAGGAGAATGATATGCAGCCATGCCCTGAAGTCGTTTGGGTGGGGCCCTGTTGTTATAAGGTAGAGGAAAACGAGATGGGCAATTTTTGGCGATGTGGCCAAAGCCTTGACATGAGTAACACTGGCGAACCTCAGAAGTAGACCCACCATAGGAAGAAGAAGAATCATGAACACCTTGAGAAGTGACTTGACCGAGAATCCCTGAAGCTCCATATCGTGACTGAAAAAATCCACCATGGCCACTAAGAGAAAAACCACCACGACCATTGCCAAACTGGAACGATCCACGACTACCAAGAGTATAGCCACCACGATGGCCGCCACCGCGAGCGGTAGAGAAAGACCCGCGACTATTAGAAGGAGAATCACCACGATGGCCACTGCCACGACTTCTGGAAGCCACCAAAGTAGAGACGCCAGAAGTAGCTGCTGGAACATAAGCGGACTGGAGGCGCTTTTCAGCAGAGAGAAGTAGAACCTCAAGTTCATCATATGTAATCGGCGTCCCTCGAGAAAGGACAGTAGAAACCACAGTTTCATACATCGGGCCAACATTCTTTAAAATAAGAGAGGCAAGAAGAGACTCATAACCTGATTCACCCGCCTGTCTTAGATCATCGGCAATAGATTTGACACGATCCAAGAACTCTTGGACAGAAGAATCACCACGAAGAGTGTTATGAAGTTCACTTTACAAGAATAAAAGACGATGAGGATTGGTGGAGGCAAAACACTTCTCAAGGGACAACCACGTGTCACGAGCAGTAGAGAGACGAGAAACAGTTGAGAGAACAGAAGAGTTGAGAGAGCCATTTATCCAAGACAACACAAGCTGATCTTTTTGAATCCATTCATCATATTCAGGATTAGGAACAGGTGAAGATGGAGCGTCACCTTCTTTGGAAGAAGATCTAGAAATGGTGGTTGGTGGGCAGGAGCTGGAGCCATCAACAAATGACATAAGTTTTCGGCTTCGAAGGACCGGAACAATCTGAGCAAGCCAACAAGAATAGTTGTTTACAGAGATGAAGTGGGAAACACTTGAGAAATAAGAATCAGAAAGGGAAGCAGTAGAAGTCGAAGAAGCCATGATAGGAAGTCGAGAAAAAAAATTATGAAAGGAGGGACAGTAAGTCTTAGGCTCTTGATACCATGAAAGAGAGTACTTCGAAAACTGTTTTCTCTTATTCAAATAAGTGAGTCTTACATGTTTACAAGGAGATGGTTTTATATGGGAGGATTAGAATATCAAAAGAGCTTTTGAGTTGTACAAGACCGACACTATGATAACACTACAATAAACTAATGTTATCTAAAGACACCACTATATTGACACCATCATATTACATTGGGGCCCTAATACCTACACCACTACGGAATGTTTAGAATCATGGACAGTCAATTATTCTTTATTGAAAACCAAAATTCCTACCCACCCACAAAAATTGAAAATAACTGGTCACACAACTCAACCACCAATATTCCCAAAGTTAGGGGTGGGCATTATTACCGAAAACCCGACCGAACCATACCGCTTTAGGTGGTTCGGTTCGATTTTTATACTTCAAAAATCACAGAACTAGCAAAAAAATCGACCAAACCGGCTCTGAACCAGGTTGGACCAATTTTTATTCCCTTCAAACCGCTAAAAACCGGACCGGACCGAATATTTTTATTTTATTTTATTTAAAAAATACATGTGTCAGCAGATTATTCATCGAGTCTAAGCCATTCCATACTCCTTGCTACATCGGATTCGGAGAGAAACCCTAAACATTTCAAGGGCTTCGAAATTTTTTTGGTTCCGCCTCTTTCTTTCTTCTTCGTTCTTCCTCTCAGTCACTCTTTCTCTCTCGCCTCCTCTCTCAGTCTCTCGCCTCTGCCTCTCTCACTCTCTCAGACTCTCTCAAGATTTCACACGAATCATGATCTCTCAATCACTCTCTCTCTCTCTCTCACACCCGCTCTCTCTAAGTCACTCAGTCTCTCTCTCTCTCTCAATCGCTCTCGCTCGCCTCTTCCTCTCTCAGTCTCTCGTCTCTGCCTTTATTTGTTCTTCCTCTTAGTCACTCTCTCTGAGTCAGTCATTCTCTCTCTCACCGGCTCTCTCTTAGTCTCTCTCGAATTAACTTATCCTCTCTCTCTCTCTCTCTCTCTCTGCCGCTTTCTCAGGTACTTTCTCTAAGTCTCTTAGTCCTTTTACTTTGTCAATCAAGAATTCTAAATAGTTCTAATAAAAGCCCATATTTGGAGGTTCCAGGTATTGTTTTTAACCTTTTCTAGTTTAATCTTTTAGGTGCTATTTGGGCATGATTTGTAGGTATTCGTTTAAAATTTTCTTATAAATTTCTTCGTTTATATTTGTATTACCCCAGATCTGAAGGAAGACAGACTTCTTCTCTGTAAGTCTTTTATTTCTTGTGTTTTTATGGATCTTGTTAATAATGACTTAGTTGCTTGGCTAAACGCTTATGTTTGTTAGCAAGTCATTTGGATTTATGCCGTTTATTGTTGATAGCAAGCTTGCTATTCACAATCTATTTTGTTGTTCTGCATTATCTGGTGGTACTTTTTGTTGTATGGTGCAAGTGGTTTTGGTCTACAATTGTTTCTTCTTTTCTTCATAACCAACCCAACCCGACCCGTGAACACCCCTAACCAAAGTACCTCTAACCGTAACCCTAATTACATTTTTTTTTTGTCAGTTCTAGATAATGGCTGCCACTGTCATGGTCGGCAGCATCTCTAACATGGAGGCAGCCACTATGTCAGGAGCTCTGCAATGGAAGATTGCAAACTACCCGGAAGCCAAACTGTGTGGCTTGTTTGAGGTTGAGTTGGGAACCTTGTGACCCGAACTTGACTCAGGCAAAGTAAGTCCAACTCAAGCTGGACTCGGTTCGACTAGCTTCACAAGCTCAACTGAACCCAAGCTTTATCTTGAACTCAAGCTCAATTTGAATCTTCTCAGGAATACAGTTTACAAAAATGAATCCCTACAATAAAAATCTTAAATCCATTCTCCAAGACTCCAGATAATACCATACATAACACCTCCACTTGTTTGTCTACATTAACTACATGAGCCTCAGGTCCAAATTTCTCACAAGCAAATCCCAGCACCAGAAAAGGCTGGATATGTGTAATGAGATGAACAACGTGCAACTAAAAGTAAATGGGAATGCATGACTATTATTATACACTGATCTGATTTTGACTTGCAGCTTGGTAATGCCCCCTAGAAATTTGGTGCAAAAGACTCAAAGATGCAATAACTACAGCTAGATTAGAAAATAAGTATCCTCTTTGGAAGCACAAGCAAAGCCCATCAGCCACAATCTAACAATAAACCTTTTTTTCTAAACACAAATGTCCACGGTAATGTAAAAGTTGGTCAATGAATAATAATAACAATAAGAATAACATGCCCTTTCAAAGTTAACGAGTATTTTAGCTTTCCTACAAGTCTTAGGAGTCAAAGCCTAAAAATATGGCTACAGATATGTGACAAACAACCAACCTGAATGAAATGCAGTCAAGACTGATTGGCAAAAGTGATTATGCGTTTCGTGTCCGGCTTTGACACTGGAAAGAGATGCTTTAAAATATTTGCTGTCCTCTCACCCGACTATTAACAATCAAGAAAAGAATACTATATATAATAAAATACTGAATAAGCCAGTAATTAAGAGGGGCAACTCAAAAAATATGGAGTGATAAACTTTTACATAAGATTAAGATGGGTAGCAGGAGTATAGGAATTAGAAAAACTAAGAATAATTATAACATGCAAAGCAACCAAGTGGGATACCATGGTGCTTCCAACAGTTAAACTCCATGAATTTCATAGATGGTAGGTAAGTCATAAATAACTGGAGCTGCTTATTTGGAAAATAGTTATAATTAATAATCCTGATCTCTAAACCGTTCTGTCAACCATGTCTCAGGAGTGATATTTTTTATTAGATCAATTGGGTCTAATATATCTTGGCATGATATATGGAGCAACATGAGCAAACAAGACGTTGAAATATTGAATTGAGATATGATACCTTAGTCGTGAAATTGTTGAGAATCAAATGTGGATAAACCTGAGGCATCGTTCCCACGGTTTTCTTATCTTTAATGTCATGTCTTGTAACCTACAAGTGAAATACTATTAGCTGAATGCCCATACTAATAAGTCAAAGCACAGATCCAGTACCGGCATGACAAATTCACAAAAGCAAGTCAGAAAAAGAACAGAAAAAAAGCAATCTTAAACTTAATTAGTTCATAAAATACGGTTTAATTTCAATGTTCATCATGATTGGCATTCTACAATCATCACTATCAACTCTTCCTTCTATATTTCTTTGCACTAGGAAGCTACCTGCTTTTTTATTTTGTTATTTTGTTTAAAACTATATCATGTTCTGCCATCAACCAGACTTTGTATAAGCACAATCTACCTTGAAAAGCACAAATTTGAAAACCGAAACTCAGCTCTTTCTCAAAATCTGTTTCCAGTAACCAAAAAACCTCTGATTCCTGACAGCAATACAACTAAACCCTTTCTGGCCCAATTCAAAACTTTAGACCTTGTGTGCCTCTCACTTTTTATAATTGTATGTCGTCCACACTTTTTCCCAAGTTTTACTGCTGAAGATACCTAGAAATTTGCTGTTGTCTGAATTTCTTTTCTGCTGTTCTATCAGTCAAAATACCAAGATACTTGCCCTACATTAATGTAAAGGTTATCACACTACTTACCACATTGAGTAGTTGAAAATAAGCTGTTGGACCAAAAGGAAGGTGGCTTATAATCAAGCCATCTGGTACACCACGATGCTCATGAACCAACACAACATCTGTAAAATCGTGTGCACAGCAAGTTTCAATGATTTCAGAAATAACCTGCAGGATTTGAAAGAATAAAAAAATTTAAATGTATGCTCTACTATGAAAAAGGAGCAAAGCTTCAGAGCCAGGCAGGTATGTCCTTAAATTTGAAAGGTTGTCAACAGGTACCAACTTTTTCGATTAACACATTGCAAGAATAAGAAAAACACGACAATATCAAAAAGAACTATAGCAGTTACACCTCAAAAAGGAGATAAAATCACACCATATTCTGGAGTAAAGGGGTCAAACTAGAAATAAATTGTAGCACAACAAATGATAAACAATAGAAAACACACAAAAAATCAAACACAATAATTAACATAGTGACTACACAGAAAACATCTTCCAATAACTCAATATTGGGCAACGCATGGTTGATTCATAAGAAGTGGTCAAACAACATCACATAGAAAATATATATATATATATATATATATATGTGCAAATAAGTGCAAATAAGTTCAGAGTAGAGCTCCGTCTAATTTATTGTGTCAGCAGTCAGATTTAAACGACAGAGCTTTTGATGAGTCAAGTATTCTTTGAGAGGGAAAAAATTATCTCTATCTTTTATCCCCTTTCAGATTTTCTATTTTCCTTATCATTCAAAGGCTGTACTGCATATTTCTGGATTTAATTTGATCTCTTATATCTCAGATCTCCAGGTAAGAACACCAAAAACAAAACTTGGAAACAACCATGCAGTCCGAATGCATCATCAAGCAACTACAGATTTAAGTACAAGTTACAACCAAAAAGAGAGGAAAAAACTAAGCAGAAAAAGATAGGCAAAACGGTCCACCAACCTGGCCACCACAATTCATTTGTTGTGCGTTGGGAAAAACAAGTTTCAGTTCCTGCAACAACAGTGTCATTGAACAATAATCAATAATCAATAATCAAAACCAGCCTTGCATGATACCCACCAAAATGAACACAAGAAGTGCAGCTAGAAGAATAACATTATATGATGCGAAAAGAAAGAGGTTAGGCCAACCTTTGCAAATTGTATCAGTGAAGCACTCGGATCCCTGGAGGTAGTTAGCAAAATTTTGGGGTCTCTTTGTGTGTTTACATACTCATCATCAATATGTGACATTGGGACTAGGATTCAGAGATAAAAATCTTGAAGAATCAACAGCACACTCAAATGAAAAAACAAAAATTACACGTTCGAGCTTCAAACTACTGTCCAGAATATGATAAATTACCAAATACACAAGAACTTCAACATTATGATATATAAACATGAACTTTCACATATAAATTATCATATATCAAAGAATTTCCATAGACCCATACCGGCAGTGTTTTCGTCCTCCAAATCGATATCTTGACGAAGGGTGGCTTCCTCATTCCGAAGCTCAGTAGCTATTGGTTTTCCCTCTGCAAAAAACAAAATGTCCCAAAATTGTTGGCAATTCACTGACCCTAACACAAAACTCCAACTTAGGAATGAAGAAAACAAGTACAAAAGAGCCTTCTAGAGCTTCCCTGATCTTGCGCTTCTTCTCATAGAGCAACCGTTGTTTGCCTTCTAAGTTCTTTCCGTACAAGTACTCCCTCGTTAACCTCTTAATTTTTGGGGGCAGCATACTTGCTCTCTGTAACAGAACCTTATACGATGCCGTTTAGCAAGAGCAGCAGATTAGATGATGCCTAGTGAGATAGTCTCTTGCCTCTTCGTGTGAGCCTGTGACTGAGAAGGGAACCTTACAAAGCAACGAGAGAGAAGAACAGAGGGAGAAAGAGAGTAGGAGTTTACCGCTTTGAAGGGTAAGCATGTAATTACACAAAATAGATCACCTTTTTGTGTGTGGAGAAATTATAGGATAGTAGTACGGTAGAAGGGATACTTGCCTCCTTCCCTCCCTGAGCATGTCCAGCAGCAGGGGTTGGGGGGGGGGCCTGGGGGCGGGCTGGAGCAAAAACCCATTTCCAGCAACAAAATCCAGCCTGGGCAGAAGGTGGGACCCAGCGAACTGGGCTGGCCCGAGGGCAAGGCGAGGCCCAGGTCCAAAACTCGGGCAATGAGATTAAATTTTTTTACCGTTGGCGCGTGCAAGACGTCATCGATGATGTCAGCCCTGCACTTCTCTAACGGTAATGGGCCACGTGTCGTCGTCTGGGTGCTCCGATTGTTATTTTCTCTCAAATCCAACGGCTTTCAATATTTTTGCAATAAAAATATGAAAAAAAATTCTGAAATTTTTTAAAAAAATTACCAAAAAATACTGGAATTTTTTTCTATAAATACCTACAAATACTCTTCACTTTCAACACCAAATCCTCATACATTTCTTCTACTTCTACTATCATTCACTTTTTACTCAACATTTCATTCACTTTCTAGTTTTATTTTTCCATATAATCTTTATGGCTTCTTCTATCGATGGTGTTGGGGCATGGAGCACCATGGAAGATGTTTTGTTGTGTGAGTGTTGGGTCCAAATTTCTCATTGTCCCGTCACGGGCAATGAGATGAAATCAAATCATATGTGGAAAAAAATTCATCAGGAATTTTGTGAAAGGGCAATGGGTTCGACCCGTACGGAAATGACATTATCTAGTAGGTGGAAAATTCTTAATAAAGAGTTGGCGAAATGGAGAGATGCCTTGGCAAAAGCGATGAACAACCATAGAAGTGGGGAAAACCTTAGCAATGAGGTAAATTATTTGTAATTTTCGTTTTATTAATTTCTATGTCATATTAATTTTTATTTAAATGTTTCTTGCAATTTATATATTTTATTAATATTTCTTGTATTTCCAATATTTATTTAAATGTTTCTTGCAATATTTATATTTTGTTAATATTTATTGCATTTCTAATAAATTGTTAAAATTTCTTGCATTTCCATT